TACTGCGTCTCTGTGTCTTCTTGCTTATCATTTCTCACTGCATTTGTTGCTGTGATGGTTCCCAGACATTAGCCACGTGAAGTAATTAAGGAAATAAACATTTTTTTAACTGAGTAGTTGTCTTATACGCAACCTTGATGGTATATTAGTTTTAACTCTTATTTCATGCCCGAGTTTGCTCATGTCGGAATTTTTTGTGTTTCTGAGTTTTAAAACGTAGTTTTTAGATGAAGAGTCGGTTTTCCACTATAGATATATTTGCGGTGGTTCATGAGCTGAAACGGTTGGAAGGGTTGAGAGTGGTCAATATCTACGATATCGACTCAAGAACGTACTTGATTAAGTTCCAGCAGTAAGTCTGTCTGGTGTTTCGGGTCAGCTAATTTAACTAGTTTTTGGGGTCCAGAGTGTACGACTTGTTGTGCTTATGTTCATATTATATCTCCTGTTGACCCCCGGGTTCAGTTGCATTATTAATTTACTTTTAAAAACTAGACATTCTGAACAGCTGACTGAAACAGCACTGTTGGGTAATTAATGATCAAGTATTACGCCTTTATTTCGTTTTTAAGATCGCTGCAACTGGGTCTGTTAGGCGGTTTTCACCTGTTGACTTCCCTCTTTGCCCGGTAATATTCTGAATTTAGTCCTGGCGAAAAATGTTTCATACTTTTTGAGTCGGGGACGAAGATTCACGTAACAAAACACGAATGGGCAAAGGCACAGTTCCCGTCTTCGTTCAGTATGAAGTTACGGAAGCATATAAAGCAGAAACGGCTTAGTAATGTACAGCAGCTGGGTATTGATCGAGTAGTTGATCTGCAGTTTGGAAGTGACGAATTTGCATGCCATGTGGTAGGTTTACTTTAGGATTACTCGGTTCTGAAACTCTTCTTTGTTTTATTAAGACAGTAAATGCTACATTATTTTTGACTTTTCTAGTTAGTTGAGTTGTATGACCGTGGAAATATCGCTCTTACGGATCATGGCTATACTATACTTAACGTTTTGAGACCACGCACTGACAATGAAACCGAAGCAAAATTTGTCGTGAAAGAGAAGTAAAATTTGAATTCTCTAAATGGTTTTTAGACTTTTTTGATTCAGTTTCCTTTATAAAGTGCTTTGGTCAAGATTCACCAAAGTTTGAGACTGGAGTTCGTCGTTTTTTCAGGTATCCTTTGGAAAACGCTCGACAAAATGTATCGTATCCTGATTCATCAGCTATCGAGGAAGTTTTAAAAAGAGCTAAAAGTGGCGAACCACTGAAAAGAGTCCTTGCAATGTCAACAAGTTTTGGTCCATCTCTGTTGGAACATTGTTTAATATCGTCAGGCTTTGAGAGGAACGCAAAGGCTTGTTTTTTTTTTCTTGGAGTTTTTGACATTTTGAAATATATTTTCTTTTTTTTCTCCTTGTCGGGAATGAATTGTTAAGGTTGCAGGTGGGGTCAATTAATTTAGATGAACCATCGTCTCTCAGCCGAATTATGGTTGTGTACAAGCTAGCTTCTGAAATATTTGAAACATTAAGGAAAATTCCTTGCAAAGGTTACCTAATATTCGTAACAAAAACTCGACCAGACGGATCAGTTTTTGAAAATTATGAGGTATTAGCTAATTTTCTGAGAAGAAAAGATGAGATTATCACAAAGTTAACACACTTTATAGAGTTAAAGTAAACCTTTTTCACCAAAATAAATTAAAGATTCTTCCGTTTTTAAGTGAAATAAGTTTATTACAGTGTTTTTAGGAATTTCACCCATTTCCTTTTGTACAGTTTGCACCTTCAAATGTGCGCGAATTTGATTCATTTTCCGAGTGCCTTGATGAGTTTTTTGGCAGTTTTGAATCACAGAAGGCCGACCGAAAGGCGATTCTTCTCGAACGTGAAGCTATGAAGAAGCTGGAGAATGTGAAGAAGGATCATGAAGTCTGGTTTTTGTGTTTAAAATCAGTCAAAAAAATTGACTGGGAAAGATTCTTTTGTGATAGCATACTTTTCTTGTGCTGCGTTCTAAACGGCTCATTTCAGAGGATTTGGGCTGCATTTAAACTTTTTCAGGAACGCATTCGCTCTCTTACTCAATCTCGTACAGAAAAAGAAGAACTGGCAAATTTGTTAGAGCTGAACTGTGAAGCAGTAGATAGAGCTTTGCTGGTAATCCGGTCAGCAATTGCAAATCAGGTCCTTTTTCAACTTCTTACTGATCTTGTTCTTCAGCAGTATTGGTGATCTAGGAGTTGTAGCTGTCTTGTAATAAATGGACTATGTCAGATTTGCTTGTCAAACAATTATTTTTAAGATGACTTGGGAAATGATAGACGAGATGAGGATAAAAGCGAGCGAAGCTGGTGATACTGTTGCAATGATGATAAGCAGCCTTGATTTGAACTCTAATGCAATGACTCTTTCTCTAGGAGATCCATATGACGCAGAAGCTCCGACTAAACAGGTCAGATCTAAACAACAGTGAAAAATTAACTTTAGCATCTGAACATAACAGATTCGCGGTTTAGTTAGTTGTTTTTTATTTGACAATTTTGAATTAAACTACTTTCAAACATCTTCAGTAAGCAACAAAGCGAATAAGTGTTAACAAAAACCTCAGATTTAGCAACTTATTCCATTTATCAAAACTTCAAGTTTGTTTATACTCGTCGTTCGCTTTTCCGTTTTTCTTACGCTAGGCAGAAGTCGCCAACTTTGTTGCTTAAAATTTTATTTTTTTTTGAAGGAAGGCCAAGTTTTGAGAAGGATGAGGCAAATCATTCAAACAGTTAATAGTTTGTAGAGTTTTAGAATCACATTCTTTACTTGAAAAATACTTTAATAAAAATAGCTATTCAGGACTTTTTAGGTAACGATTGACATTGGTCTCTCAGCGTATCAGAATGCTCGTAAATTGCACAGTGAGAAAAAACTCGCCGCTGATAAAGAACAAAAAACTCTTCAATCTTCCGCAAAAGCTTTACAATCTGCACAGTTAAAGACCAAGGAGTTCTTGAAAACGGTACTTTATACAGTAAAAAAATTTATTGAACGCATACCGTTCCCTTCTGAGAATATATCACTTAATAACATTTTTATTGAAGGTTCAAGTTAAAACTGATATTGCGAAGTCGCGGCAGTTAATGTGGTTTGAGAAATTTTATTGGTTTATCAGTTCTGAGGGGTATTTGGTAATCGGTGGACGTGATGCTCAACAGAATGAACTTCTCGTAAAAAGGTATTGGCAAGCGGCTGTATACCGTAATGTTTTGAGCATTTTTTTAACCTGAAAGTTCTTAGGTGTTTTCTTTTTAATTACTGTGTGTATAAAACAAGATATTCTGATTTCAAAAGTGATTCTAGGTACTTACGTCCGGGTGATATTTATGTTCATGCTGATGTGCGAGGAGGTTCCTCCATTGTAATTCGTAATAAAACAAAAAATTTTGATATACCCCCAAAAACATTGAATGAAGCAGGTGTTATGGCTGTTTGTTATTCTTCTGCTTGGGAAGCAAAGATATCTGCATCTGCATGGTGGGTCTACAACTATCAGGTTTGTGCAAGTTGTATTTGAAAAGCAGCAATTTTTTATTTGAAGTAAAATAGATTTTTTGAACTTTTTAGGTTTCTAGAACAGCACCAACGGGAGAGTACCTCCCGTCAGGAAGTTTTATGATTCGTGGCAAAAAAAATTATCTTCCGACCTGCCAACTACAAATGGGTTTTGGTTTGTTGTTTAAGCTAGATGAATTTTCTTTCGAAAAACGTCAGACTGATTTCGAAAAGAAAGGAGAGGAAGCAGTAACCGAAGTTGCTGAAGCAGAGAGAGAAGATGCGGATGTGGAATTATCTTTAGAACAAGGTAATGAAGAAGATGAAGAGGCCAAGGATTCTGATGAATATCCTGACGTAGAGGTTCAGTTTTCGTTGTACGCAGTTCATGACTAGTAACGTTTTAATAGAATATTTTAATTTTCGCACATGATATTCCCTGTAGTTAACTAGTTATTCTTCTTGTTCAGATTAACCTCGATGAGATCCTAATCCGAAACGGAGTTGACGAGGACGGAGATTACACAATACTCCAAATTGGTCCTAGCGCTCCAAAAAATTTGGTTAAGAATGAAGTTGAAGGGCAGTTTCATAATAAAGTGAACGGAACAAAAGATAATGAAGTAAAGAAAAATCGCCCAATGACAAAGCGTGAGAAGCATAAGGCGGAAAAGATAAAAAAGAAGTATCGTGACCAGGACGATGAAGAGCGTGAGCTTCGGCTCATGTTGTTGGCTTCAAAACCAGCAGAAAAGAATAAAAAAGAAGGTTTTGATTGTTATTATTACGGCAGGCTGTATTTCTCATGACTCATAGAATGAAATAATTTAAGCGAATCCCACGTCGCGTCCTGCGAAATTCATTGCCACGTCTAATGTAAAGGAAGAAAAATTGGACGAAAGAGAGTCCGCTGTAGAACCCGATGTCAAAAAAAAGTTTAACAACAAGAAACCAGTACCAAATAAGGTTGTCTGTTTACCGATCAAGTGGTTTGCTGCTTTGCAACTTCATTTCACCTCGTCTTTATTTCCTTTAAAATTATTTTAATGTCTTCGCGACAGACTGGCAAGGGTGTAAAAGACTTTGGTTTCAAGTCCATTTATTACAAATTGTAGGTAGGAGTTAGTGAGGAAAATGAGAGCGACAACGAGCTATTTGTTGCGGAACAAGACGACACGAAGATGCTGAATTCCCTAACCTGGCGACCTCACCCAGAGGACGTTCTTTTATATGCCGTTCCGATGGTGGCACCTTACAGTGTAATGCAGAAATTCAAATTTAAAGTTAAGCTTACTCCTGGCAATGGAAAGAAGGGGAAAGCTGCAAAGAGCGCCATCGCATTGTTCCAGGTGAAAATTTAATATTTTGGTTGAGAAAGAAAGCATTTCTTTCAGTAGCCGATCATGAAGCCAATGGAAATTCCATAAGTCATACATATAAAAAAAAA